AGAGTGGGCATTACATACGCATTAACCACAAGTAGAGGGGCGGTAAGGGGGGGAGGGCGAGCAGGCAAGCAGGTACGTTTCTAGTCGTTTTACAGAAAAGGCGACTGACTCTTGTTTGTGTGGCTCGGTGCGGCTTTTTTATGGCTTTGTGCGGTCGCCTATCATTTGGTGCGCACGGCACTGGACGTCTGGGTGCGTCCTTATTGAATTCGTGTCTCGACCGCATCTACCCTGCCAGAAAGGTGCGGCGCGGCGAGTACAGTTGGCGTTGGTGCTAAGAGATCCGCGCGCGGCGAACGTTGTCGTGGCAGTATCGTTAATCGAAAAGGAGCCAAATCCCGATCACGCATTTCGAAAACTCAAAGGTTCAATGTACAAAAAAGTCAACATATGGTTCAAAAATGTGAAGAGATTGATTTCGTAAAACAGTTTTTAACTTAATTGTAGGACTCAGAAAAGTACAGTGGTAGTTATTTGTCTCATCTTTAAAAAGTTAAAAATAAAAACCGAGCAAGTCATTCCCAGCGGTGTACCGAACACATCGGAACACGTACGTGCTACAGGTAGGTACCAGCGCGCCCTCGGGACCGCCTCGGCCCGCCCCGGCCCGGCCGCCGGCGAGGCTGCCGTTGCTGCCCCCCGCCGGTCGGGTACGACTTCATATTCCGACCTGCCCACTCATAAAACGGTTGACTGGAGCCGCAGAGAGAGATCCCTCCGCTCGCCAGCCCCAGCCAGAGGCCCCAGCCCTCCCAGTGGACCAGCTCTCTTCACTTGCAGAAATGAATGCGCGGCCACAAAAGGATCGTTTTTACTTACCGAGAGCGGAAAACCATAGTAAGAAGTGAGAAGCCATGAGGAAAAACGCCCGGGCGTGAGAGACGAAATGGCGAGTACCCACCCCATTTACCGTATTTCTAATACCTTGGGGAAGGAAAAGTGGTAGCCGATCGGACTACACTGCAGCCCTGTCGGCCCCCTTCCGCCCCTCTCCGCTCTCACCACCACTGTAAAAAATATTCTGAAATTTAAGACCAAAATGTATCTTAAATTTAATAACATTTTTAGTTGTTCTTAAACGTAAGAACAGATTATGATATTTAAGAAGTTTTTTTAATTTTGCAAACCAGGTTATGAAAATTCTGATAAGGGTAATTAAATTTTATAACAAGTTTATTAAATTTAAAAGATTTCCTTAGTGTTGAGAAAATTGTTTTAAAAAGTCAGATCCATTCTTACTTTTAATACTAGCATTCAGAACACTGCTTTAAAGTCATGCAGTTTTTGACCCCTGGACATAGAATTTTGGCGTTCAATATTGAATTGGATGAACAACATCGAATTAAGATGGGCGAAATGAAGCTATGCCAGAGGCAAATGTCAAAAAAGAAAGTTAACAAACAT